CTCACCCCCCTCACCCCCCTCACCCCTGACCCCCTCACCAGTCACTGGCTTTGCTGCCCGCCGGGAAGCCCGCAGTCTCCCCCCGGTCCAGCTGCTCCACCGCCGCCCGAAACGTCTGTACGGAAGCCGGGGGGGGGGAAATGGGAAGCCGGGGGAGGGGGCCCGGTGGTGGTCCGTGAAGTTCGATTGGTTTTAGGGGTTGAATACACGCGGGGGGAGACACGGGCACAAGGGCGACGGAAAGAGATCCAAAGTACGGGGCAGGCTACAAGCAGGTGGCCCTGTGGGGATCCACACGCCGTCCAAAAGGAGGAGTAAATCAGGATGGGCAGCACTCTGAATCCGCCAATCATCATTAGGATCCAGGACTATTATTACGATCCAGGATCCAGGATTTAGGGACGGACGGGTAAAGCAAAGCACGTTACGTCGTGTTTTTAATATTGTTCCACGGCTCCGCCCCATCATGACCTGGCCGCCACCACCACCACCGGCACCACTGGCAGCCCCCTGGAGGGTCTGCTTCATCCGTACCTTGTACGACGATGCACAGAGCGCCGCAAAGATGACCGCCAGGACTACGTTGCCACCAAACGCTGCCCAGACCCACTTGCGCACCGGGGAGTGATACTGGCGCAGGGAGGGTGTCCCGCCGCTCATGCCGCTACTGTTCGTGGACATCGGCAGCCCGCTGCCGCCGCCGCCGCCGCCGACCCTGGTCGCCGAGGACATGGCGAGCGAGAACACGGTGTGATGATGTTGTTGTTGCTGGTGGTGGTGGTGGTGGTGGTGAGGGAGGCGGCTGGTCAACGGTCGCTGGCGAGAAGTAGCCTGTGACGCGAAAAAGTGGCTTGGTGTGTTGACGTTGTTGGGATTGTTATCGTAATTGTTGTTGTTTTGGTTGTCGTTGTTGTCGTCGTCCTCGACTTCACTTCCGGAGCTGGCCTTTGCCCTTGGACGGTTTCCGAAGTTAAGGTTTTCGAACAGCGCGGCGGCAGGTGCGTGCGCGTCCTGCTGCGGCTCGCTTGTTACTCCGCCGGCCAAGGCGCGAGAGGGAACACGGACGCGCGCATGCGTTGGCCTTGGCGGATATGGCCGCCCAAACATGTATCAACTCTAAGTAGGATAAGCTTAACAATTTTGGAAAGCAGGCACATGCATAAAGCAGGAGAAGGTACTTGCTTGCAAATTGTTTTAGTAACAAGGACTAATTTTTAGCTCTCAAGCTGCAGCTTACCGGCTTTCTATGCTTTGAGTCCGAGGCTGGCCGCTTGAAAAGGCCGAACACATCATCTATCTTACACTGCACACAACCGGCTTTCCAACGAACGCTCGCATCAAATTGTCACAACACACAAAAACCAAAATGCCAGTGATACTAATTGCGTAGAACTCACAGGCCGAACACGCAATACGGTAGTCAAGGTGTGCCAGAGAACACACCAACAACAAACTTGGTCCCATGGGTCGGTCCCGCACTTTAATTATGCTAATGCCCTTTTGCTTTTCTCAAAGAACAATATTTGATAATGCAATGTGTGAGCCCCGCTTCTGAAGCCCCACTGTGTCCCACGGACGGGCAAAAATCCTAATAGAGAACAGAGCTCGCAACAACATGTCCGTCACTCTCGACTCCGCGCCCCTACCCGCCCGCATGTAACGAAACTGACAAAAGCTGTCTGAGGGATCCCGTGTGCCACTTTTGAAATTTATGCGCACTTGTGTGTGTATGTGTGTTTACGACAGCTATACAACACGCGGCTGTGTCTGTGCCTTGGGTGGTCCGGATGGGGGCCTGACAGCTGAGCTGTAACCGCCACGTTGGCTGCCTCGACTCAATCAAACACTCACTCAATCAATCAATTCAACCTTATGGCCATCTCTGTCATCTCTGTGCTATACGCCGACCGTTTCCCTTCCAGCTGCCGAGCAGTCAACCTGGCAGTGCCGCCCGAGTGCGCCACCCGCACCTGCGGATGGACAGGTAACTTGGATCTTGACACATCCCCCTCCCCCTCCC